GTCGCTATAGTCACCTACTTCCCTTCAAAATATGCTTTTCATTGTTTCACTGCCCTTTTTCCAATTGCTCTGCAGCCAAGTTCTTGGAAAGCAATCACACTTCTTGTTTAGGATTTATAGTTAGTTTTTTGCCAATAAGGACATGCACAAATCACTCCTGTGATCATCCTGCAAAAGCAAGCTAAAAATACAGCAATTTAAAAAGCAGGCACATTTTGCGTGTTATAAGGCATCAGCGTGCAGTCCTCAAAAAACCCTGAGATACATGAAAGAACATTGATCCTTCTGGATGATCAAAGGCCATTAGTAAGTTTGTTTTGGAATCCAAGTCTATTTAAAAGGGCAAAAATATATATTGTGTGTTTTAATAGTTGCGAAATCTTTCCCTTTTATCAGGTTTACACTTGAAAGTCTGCACTTTAGACATTTAAGTGGGCCCACGTAAATCTAGGGAGATTCAACAACTACAAGTGCAAGACATTGCACATGGGTCAGGGCAATCCCAGATATGAGAACAGACTGGGAAAAGAATTCACTGAGAGCAGCCCTACAGAGAAGGCCTTGGAGGTTCTGGTGGATGAGAAGCTGGATGTGAGCCAGCATTGTGCGCTTGCAGTCTGGAAGGCCAGCTGCATCCTGGGCTGCATCAAAAGAAGGGTGGCCAGCAGGGCACAGGAGGTGATTGCCCCCCTCTACTCCACCCTTGTGAATCACCACCCACAGCACAGCACCCGCAGCACAAGAAAGATGTGGAGCTATTGGAGCCAGTTCAAAAGAAAGCCAGGATAATGATCAAAGGGCTGGAGCACCTCACCTATGAAGAAAGGTTGAATGGTCGGACTTGCTTAGCTTGGAGAGAGATGGCTCTGGGGAGCCCTCATTGCAGCCTCCCAGTACTTGCAGGGAGCTTAGGAGCAGGAAGGGGAATAACTTCTTACACAAATTGACAGTGACGGGACAAGGGGAACGGCTTTAAACTAAAAGAGGTGAGATTTAGATTAGATGTTAGGAAGAAATTCTTCACTTGGAGAGCAGCGAAGCACCAGCACAGGCTGCCCAAAGAAGCTGTGGATACTCCATCTCTGGAGGCACTCAAGGCCAGGTTGGCGGGGCCCTGGGCACCTGATCTAATGGATGTCAGCCCTACCAACAGGGTGGGTTGGAACTGGATGGGGTTGGAAGGCACCTCAAAGCAAGGCATTCTGTGAGCCAGACTGGTTGTTTTAAGATTAATAATAATGATGACTAATGCAGTTATTGTTAAAACTCCAAAGTAGTGGGAATTGGAAACGTTGTTTGTTTTGTTTCTTCATGGTTTTCTTTTTACACGTTTGTTTTTAAGAATTCGGGTATTTACGAAAGCACGTTGCATGCGAGTTTTAAAATGTATTTCAGCTTGTCTAAGAAAAAATAACATGCAGAGAAACAGCAGATTACATGAAAGAAAACTGATACTATGGCTAGGAAATAACGGATCATGGCAGAGAGTACCTAGAAAATCACCATGCCTTGGCCATGCTTGTCTGACCATATTGTTTGTTTTTCGTACAAACATTACAGTATAATCATCAGCCTCTCGATTGCTTCTGACTAACGTCTTCCATCAGTTTATTGCTTGTGACAGCAGGGTTAGATTCATGACTGTACTGGTCTGTTCTAAAGCTTCTCTTTGTTAGGACTGTTGAAGTTCCTCTGAAATTTTGGGAGTCCTTGGTCAATCCATGGCCCTTCCAGAAGCCCCTTGGTTCTGATGAGACCCTCTACCAAATAGTCTTAACACAGGTTAAGTGAATTAGGACTTATTCATGAGCTTGGATCCACTTTTAGCAGCTTGGGTTCTCAGACACGATTGCTGAGACTCAGAAACAAGACTAATTAAACGATTCAGATAAAAGTTTCACCACCTCACAATATGGGGCTCTTATTCAATTCAAAATTACTGCAGTTGTTATTATTTTACTGTTCTTCTTATGAATTTCATCTTCCTTGTTTTCCCTTCTCTGCTTATTCCCTTCTGTAGGCAATCAGGGATGGTCCCAAACACCTATTTGGTTGTGTAATTAAACCAGATACATTTTCTAGTCAGTCCTAACAGGGATTGGCCACCTGTGTAATGGGATTTTACATGAGAAATGATAATCGAGGAAACAGCGTAAATTTATTCATAGTAAATTACAAATGAACTTTGAAGTGCAATAAAACTCTTTTTTCTTGTGCTCAGACTGGTAGGTCTCTGAGCACAAGTAACTCACACCTGTATCTCAGAAACACCACATTCTGCAGACAGATGACAATTTCCTGAAATTTATTCTCTGCTTGAAATTATGTAGCGAAATACATTTTGTTGCTCTATAAGATTACTCACGTTTCACATGGCATCAGTTAATGGGTGTGCTTCTCTCTGTAATCATCAGGATCCTGGTGAAAGTATTTGTATAATAGTTATAAAATTTGCTTCCCAGTATTTCAGCTAAAAAAAAAAAAAATCACTTTGCATTGGTGATTGCTGCAGTAAAACACAAAGGAACTTACACAGGGAACCACAGAAAAGCCTATTCCATGGCCAAAGCAAATGAGTTGCAAAATTTAAACCAATATTTGCAAGAAAACGTTGGTGGTGGTCACTCAGTCCTACTTCTGAGGCCTTTACAAACATCACTGCTACTGGACTTAACATTGCAGATCTACCTGCATCTTCTTTTGAAACGATTTTTTTTTTAATGCCAGCATTGGCTTTGTCTCCCTTTACAGCCATGATAAAACTTGGACTTTTACTAATGTCTGCAGAACAGATCCCATTAGTTTGCTTCTTTTGACATTAAGTATCACATTGCAGGCACCAGCATCCACATAGCTGAGCTAAGATAGCTTTTGCTTTCAACTCAAAAAGTGGAAACACGTACTTGGCTGTGGCTACGTGTTCCCCCAGCTACATCTACCCATCGAGCCCGCACGATCTGGAACAAACATACTTTCAGATACCACAATCTTCAGTATATTAATGTTGCTCTTGGAGAAGATGGACAGTGTATTGAAGATCATCTGTAATGACACTCACATCACTCCTCACAAATTTTTAGTACATTTTACTCACAGAAGCTTTTACGCAGTAAGTAAAAACTTGTAGGCACACACCTAAGACCTCTGGCTGAGTAACGCTGGTAGACAGGTCTTCATTAATTCTTTCTTCATTTCAAAGAAATAAAAAAAGAATTATAAAAACCACTTCTTCCCTCAAAAAAAAAAAAAAAAAAAGTAAAAGAAGAGTTTAAAGATAAACAAGCATCAGGTCTCAAAAAAGCAAATGGCTGGAACTTCGTACACACTTAGAAAAGTTGGAATACAGTTTGCAATACATTCTGATAAAGCTTGGCCATTTGGGAGATAGCTGACAGCTTCTTCAATACAACTTGAACATAATAATGACGTCACTGTTACCATCTTGCTGAGAATGGTAGAAAAAGGCCATAAAATCGAGTGGCAGATTTAAAATTGCTTGCAAAATATCGGCCCTCAGAAAACACCACACAATATGTGTAATTAATACCAGTCCTTTACAATATGCCTAGAGTCTTCTGAAATCTAAGGCAGTACTATGTTGCTGGTAGGAACAATTGTGTCCTAAACAGTATTGACAACAAGACAGTAATTACCTAGGAGAAGGCAGAGTTACAACCCACTGGTCGGCTCATGGAAAAATACCTTTGCCCTTATTATTTATAGCAGAGATTTTTTCTGAAGAATCTCAGGACTTTACTCTTTAGCTAAGCCTCACAAGTTCAACACCCCATGAGTTATATAAACACTGTTATACCTTTTGAACTATTTCTCCCAACGAAGGGATCACTCCAGGGAACACCACTGGAACACTCTCTTTTACAAAGCCAACACTGCTTCACTTGTACATCCCCAGCCTCAAACCTGACACCCACCTCACTGGCGCTCAAGAGTGAAAAAATCCAGGTGCAGGTTTTACTGCATCCAAACACTCAACTAGAAGTGCTTCCAGGGAATAGAAGTTGCAACAAAAGCTGGGAGGGGTGGGGAGAAGACGCTAATTTTAAAGAGCAAAAGATGTAAAAATGAAGAAAAAAAATGGGCTACAGGCGGCAGAAAACGCTCACCTCTTAGCGGTGATGCTGCAGGCGTCAGACGCTGGTGCGTGGCGCTGCCCGCAGCCGGGGGATGCTGCCGGGCCCAACGGCTGCCCCGCTCCGACCCCCGAGTACGGGCAGCGCCCGGGGACACCCCGCTCCCCCGAGCGGCGGCGGGGAGGAAGCGCCCTTACGCGGCCGGGCTTCGTTCCGAGGCTCGCGGCTTTTGCGGGAGGCTGTCAGAGGGAGCCCATCGCCACCGTGCAGCCGCGATCCCGGCGCGTTTTTCAGGTGCGCGGAGCGGTTGTGGCGTGCCGGCGGCTCCCGCGGTCCCGGAGCATCTCACGGGCAGAGCCGGGCGCCCGCAGCACCGAGCTCAGCCCCGGCTCCGTGCGGGGCGGGCAGGGGACAGACGGCTCTCAACAATGGGCATGTTTGCGGCAACATGGTATCACCTAATAACGCCGAATAAGGCAATGACTGTACGTTGAAGCGATACGATCCCGCTTGTCTCATCACACAGCGCGGAAAGCTATTTGCAGATTTGCTAAGCCCTTTTGAATGAATGCATCTGCAGCTGACCTTTAACAATAGACGCTGAAATAGCACAATCTGTGGGACCAGATTTGGGGGGGGCAGCGGGAAGGGGGAAGGAAGAGATGGGCGAATATTGTAATCTCCGCAATCTCGCTCGCTTCCTTTCCCAAACCTCCTCGCAGCGGGGGGAAATCGATCTTTTCCTTGGAAGCAAGGCTCCGGTTCCGAGGAGCCTTTTCCAGCCCAGCTCCGCCACATGGACCCCACATCCGCCACAGGGACCGGCGCTCAGCCCCCACCTCCCGGACCCCGGGGTCGGAGGGCCGCCCGTGCCGGGGATGCTCCGGCTCCCTCCCGCCGCTCTCTCACCTTCCCTGGCTTTCAGCAAAACGGTGTTGGCAACGATGTTTTCCAGCTCCATTGACGAGCTCGGGCAGCGTAGGTAGCGGCGGCACAGCAGCAGGACGTCACGCTCCCTAGGTGCGGAGCCTCCGGGCGACCATCCGCTCCTGCCTCTATTGCGCTAGCCCCCCTCGCATGATCCCTTCCTCTCTCTCCTCCGCCCGCAAAAGCTTCAGCCGGGCGGAGGCGGCGCTCCCCGCGCTATCTGCTCCCTCGGCGCCTCGCCCCGCTACTCCATCCTCCGCCCCGCCGCCTCCCCGGCGGTTTGAGGGCTCGGGTTCTCCTGCCTCCCTCCCCCGGGGGTGTGGCACCGCCGAGCGGCCCCGCAGCCCCGCGCAGGCGCCATCCCCGCCGCCGGCTCCGCGGAGCCGGGAACGCCGGGACGTGCGGGCAGGGAGCCGGACCCGCGGCCCGGCCGGGGGCAGCTCCGGGGGAGCTCAGCGGGGCGGGGGGAGCTCCGCGGGGCGCAGCGCGGCGGGGAGCGGAGCTCCGCGGGCGGGCGGGCGGGGGTGAGGCGCGGAGGTCGGCCGGGTGCCGGGCGCCACCCAGCGGCGCGGAGCTCGGCCGGGCCCGCACCGCGTTCCCCCGCACGGGTGTTCGGCAGAGCTCTGTTTTGGGGTTTTCATCCCCGTGAGAGGTTGCTCGGGGCATCGGCCATTTGGGGAAAGTTGTTTTTAAACGCTAGGCTACGACATAAATCTTTTTCTGCCCGTACGAGACAGATGCTCGAGTCAGCATGATTCTGGTTTTCCTGGCAACAAGGTGGATCGATAGAACGTTCAGCAGGTCAGGCAAAGCAAGCGGAATAAAAACGACCCACCGCTCTCAGTAAGACTCTCCACCCATCAGAACTGCGTTGATTAAATCCATGCGGAGCAAATGGAATAAACGTGCAGTTTCTTGTTGGGGAACATAGACAGTACTTTTTTTTTTTTCCCCTCCTGCTTCTTTCTTTATCTTTTTTTTTTTTTTTTTCCACCGATCATGTTTCTTTCTACAGCCAGCCAGACGTGACCTGCAATGGCAGGACTTGCAAATTGCTACTGAATGTATTTTATCAACACAGAAACAAATAACAAATAAACAAGGTAATAACAATATAAACAGTCAATGCACTGAATAAATGATACCTTGGACATGAGTGCAGTAGAGCTACAATTCATGCCTTGTGTGAGTGTCAAAGGTGGGAAACTTGCTGCAGTTGTAGCCAGTACTCTGTTGTGCACCACATTCCCCATTCTCTCCACTTTGCTTCAGAAAACGTTCTATCTCCGGTAGCCACGCCGAGTTGTGGCTACTTCCTCTGTAATGCCAATTTCTATACAACAGCAGTTGTGTCTCTAAGCACCGGAAGATTTTTCTCTGATTAAATAATTCTTGAGGGAAAAATTGCTTCCTGGAAACCAGAGCCTGAGCATAGAGATGAGGTTCCTAAAGGGTGTCTGTCCTGCATGTTGTTTGACCACTTCTGTGCGAGCGCTGATGCTCACTTGTAAGCAGAGCAAATTATGCTTGGGTTAGAAGTGCATTTCACATCACTGCAGCCTTCCACTAATGATCATCAAAAGGGCAGCGCCAGCATTGGAGTCTGACTGGCACTGGAAGACTCAGCTGCATGTTTTATTTCATAAAACATTTTTAATGTTACAGGCAAGCCCTATCTCCAAAGAGAAAAAAGAATATACACATCTTACACGTTGTTTCCTAAAATGTGTACCAGAAGCTTAACTTCTGCTGGTAGCAGTGCAATGTTGTTGTGCTTGCACATCCCAGGACCAGGTTCTTCAATGGGAAGGGACTTACTGCACAGGGAGCACTGACTGGGTCTGGTGCATGACCTTTATATAGGTGCCACGTGAAGAGAGGCACTTGCAGATCTTAATTTTGGGTGGCTAAGCACTTGAAAAGCAGCACATACATATCTGAGGGCTCCACTGTTCCTCTTGCATTTAGTATCTATAGCTACATGTCTCTGCTTTAGTGCTATGCACAGTCTTCTGCAGTGCTGCCCTATGAAACAGAAGTATGCCTTCAGAGTGCTGATGTGAATCATCATCCTAAATATTTTGTGAATGTTTGTTTAGTTCCTGAAGGGGTAAGTAGTAGAATTATCAAAAGAGTCATAAAAGATCTACGTGGTGCTTGGGGATCCCACGAGCTACCTGCTATTCAGAACTGGCACAGCTCTTAACTTTGCGTTCCGACACCCAAAGGCACAGTTACACAGTCCTCTCAGAAACAGGGACAGCAACAAAACAGAACGTTGCGCTGCTGCCTGAGTGGTTACTGACACTAAGCTGGATGACTTTGCTTTGAAGAAGATGAGAAGCAATCACTGAACTTAAATGGGGCTGAGTGCAGGCAGTGGAAAGCTCAACTCTGCTAATGGACTGCTGAAGTTCTACAGGAACGCGTTTGTCAGAGTTACACATCTATACAGAGGGCAGCAACTTTAAATTTGGGTCTGTCAGTAAGAATGGAGTGGGTCTTCTTAATGATTCTTTTAGTGTTTAAGAAAATAAAACTTGTTTCCAATACATGTGAGACACCTTGGTGCCCTAGAACACAAAGGAGTTGTGTTCACTATCACAATGCCTACTTTGAATAACAAAGCAAGACAGCCAGTCCTCCCCCATCTCCCCCATCTCCATTTCCTATCTCTAAAACCTGAACATAACACAAGGCTGTGCTTCTGCACAGGACTCTGAGGGATGGCCCTTTTCACACTCCCTGTGGATTGACAGATCAATTGTCACTGCACAGACATACTTGACCTGAAGTCCATACATTGGTATTTTCAAAACTCACTGTAACATTTGGAATCTTACCTTATGACTTTCTTATAGCTGTATCTTCATTCTTGTGTCACCCTGAACACCTGGTTCACAAAAACAATAACAAAAGATTAGAAAGAGGTACATTTACTTGTATCAATTTTCTCTTGCAACAACACAGACTTAATCCAGGCTACACTATGCCTGGTTTAATGAGCAATCAGTGTGAGGGGAAAATAAACTGCTCATTATCAGGAAACCTATGAGTTTGTTCTGTATATCTTAATCTACTCAGTGCTGTAAACTTTGGTGCTCAAATATGAAAGAATAGACTCAAAGACAGTGCGGCAGGTAAGAAGCACAGGTCTTCTTTTCAGGGTTAAAGATCCTAATGCAGCATTTGTAAGAAGCAAAGGGTAAAAATGTAGTTTGAGTTGTCTGCAGAAACAGCCAGTTTCTGAAAATGAAAAAGGAGAGAAAATGAAAAAAGAAAATGAAAAAGGAGAGGCTACAAAAAAAAGCCCTGTTAAACTGGAAAATGTATAGTTCTTACTGTGGTTACTCAGCTTTTAAACAAAACACTTTTCATTTGAAGCTATTCAATAAAGGCTGAGGAAAACACTTTTTGAGAACTGAACACCAGGCTAAAGCGGCGCTGGCAGCCATCTTTCTTCTATGGGAGAAAAGAGGTTTGTAAATGAAATGCCAACGCCGTGTGAGACCCAAATGCATCGGCGTAATAAAGATAGGAAGGCAGCAAAGCAGAGTGTGATATTCTGAGCCACTCTAAGGGATGAGTCATCGGCAGGGTGGGCTCGTGCAGCTCCAGCCAGAAGCACAGCAGCAACACACAACACACCCAGTTCTCTCCTATCCCCAGAGAAAAAGCGTTTGGCCTCAGTGCTGGGCATATCAGGATAAGGTCCCGGCTGAATCAGATGTCATAAAGGGGCTTGCCTGTGCTTATCAATTGCAAACATACCCTAACAGAGGCTATCACCCATCTCCATGTTACAATACATAATTAATGCAGTAAAGCTTGCTCACGATTACCTCTTAGCTAGATTGCATTTGAAATACAATTTTTCTCACCACCCACCGAGATGCTGTGTGAGCAGATGGGGACACACAGACCCAGGAGAGCATTTGCAGGCAGCTGTGACCTTTTACAGAGCCCTTTTGCGTAAGGACAGAGGCTGCCATCTACCAACAGCCATGGGGTGATGCATCATTTTCTCAAAACCCAACTTTTTCCTTTAATTTACGTGAAAATATTTATGTCCCTGTAGTTTCGCTCCATCCCCAAATTTTGTTTTTTGTTTTGTTTTGTTTTGTTTCTTGCAATCAACTGTTTCTTCAAAGTAGAAGATAAATGACTGTGACAGCATTTAAGCATATGGAATAAAATAATCATCTAGAAGATGAGCAGATTGTATTTTTTAAACAAGCAGAAGTACACATCCCATAATCAGCACAGAATCTGACATTTCATGGTTGTCAGAAGCAGGAGAGATCTGTTAAGGGATTTCCTTGTCCCATTCACCAAGTTTAGAGAGAAGTTACTTTCCCACTGAAGCTTCTTTTGTTAAAAACAAACATTGAAAAAGCTCTTTAAAAACCAACGTCACAAAACCATGGTAACTACATATGAGTATTATCCAGTATTTTTTATCACAGATTTCAATTTATATATTTTCTTAACACCAAGGCAAATTTAATTATTCCCAGATAGGGAAAAAGGCATAAAGTAAGAAGAGGCAGGCAGGTGTCATAATAATAAAAAAATAAATTTACATGTTTCAGTATCTATTCAAATGCCTTATCTACTGTTCTGCACCTTGCAATGATACAAATTTCTCTGCTAAAGCCTGCTGAAGTCTATGGAAAGTCTTTCATCAACTTTAGATGTGTTAGAATTGTGTTTTAAAATTTGAATCCTTCAGAACTAACACGTCCATTCTCTGCTGATTTTGTGCTGTACCAGTATGAACCAGCACTCCATCACTGCAGGATGTGATTTTAGAAGTGCACAGTGACACAGCAAAGCAGAAAACCAACAACATGCTGAGACAGATGTGCGCGTGACACCACTTGGTAAATTTATTCTGAACTACAGATGGCAAGAAGAACCAGGTTTAGCAGCTGCTCCAGCCTGCATCAGAACTGGTGCTGAGGAAAAGGAATGATTCTTTTGTCAGCCACACTTCGGCAAAAACAAAGCCCATCTTCAAATCCTTTTGCTGGGATGCCCAGTAAAAAGTAAAATGGAAAACAACCCCTTGTGCTAAGTGGCAGTAGTTTAAGATGTTGCCTAGAAGTCTTGGAAACTTAATTATCCTGTCTTCATAACAAAGCATGAGCAATATTTCCCCACCTGCATGCCAAGTGTTTAAACAAAGAGTTTTAAACAAATACAGCTTTCCGGGGAGGGGGAAAACACAATTTTAGAATATATCAACTTAGAAATTGTGAATAATCATCTGTTAG